AAATGGCCCCAGTGGAACTCGTCGCATCGTTGTCCGTCATGATGGCTGGTTCGGTTGGTTGCGTTGAAGTTCTTTACCGGGTCACCACTGTTGCGTTCCTGTTGCGCTCGCGTGCGCGACAGGTAATAACCCAGACAAGCAGGAACGTTACTAAATCATCTACTTAAAACCAAACCATTCTAACTGAACAAAAAACGTGGACCTCCCCCGGTCAGCAGGGAATGAAGGTGATGTCTCGCGCCTTCCGCCTGTTCCTTCGATCCTCGCGCATCTACCGAACTCGGGTCCCTCCTTTTTCTTGTCTTGAACTTATCGATCCCCGAGGCCTGCAGGAGCTTCGGCGAATGTTGTTTTGGCAAGAGGGCACGTGCCGCCACAGGGGAAACAAAGACAATACCAAGAAGGCTTTCAGTTACATTAGTAACGCGTGTGAAGCTACGAACAACTTGAGTCAGGTTACATGAAAAAGCGATGTCAATCAACAATCGCAACTGCTGACACTCCCGGAGAGGCTACATATGATCCCCATCAATGTGTGGTAGATTAAAATCACCCGCGAGCACCACGTGCCTGTAGCGCTGCGAAAGTGCGCAAAGAGATTCATGGGCCCATTAGTGGGAAACAGAGCAGTTAGGTGGATGATAAGACGCACCTACTATAATTGACAGTGATGAAAAACAAAGCTTTGCCAAGATCATTTTAGCCTTATTAGTGCAGCTTACACGAGAGCATAGTACGCTGTTTTTTACTGCCATTTCATAGCCGATAGGGAACACTCCGTCACTGGACGTGGCTCGTTGAGCCACGTTTCAGTGATAACAGCCACGTCTGGGTCGTACGTCAGAAAAACTGCTTCTAGTGCCGTCGCCTTATTCGTCACACCTCGAGCATTTAGATTCAAAAGCTCAGAGGGGAGGCTCGAGCAGACGGCTCAGGCACTGTATTTTCCGATTGAGAGGCATGATTGCTTAACTTTAGAATGCCGAGATATGTTCTGAACAATGCGCTTATGGACCACAGTTCTACTTCGAGAAGCTTCTCGAAGCCATTTTCGTTTATTGACACATGAAATGAAGAGTAGTTGTCACGCTTCATGGGCAACTTCGTACAGACACATGACTGTGGGCCTATTGCGCTGCCCTAACAGTGTCAGAAACATCTTGACATGTGGTCGACGGATTCAAACCAGAAACAATGAGTGTTCTAAGCCTAGGAGGCATAGGAGTGGTAGATAGCTTACAGGATAAGCCCGTTCCCACAGATGGCTGGGACTTGCTCCGAGCTTGAGTCATAAGGTATCTGTCGGGGTTTACCACCGGAGCTGTATGGCCTGAGGTCGCGCCCTGAATTCGCCCCTCGGAACCACGGTTAGAACACGGTGGCGGTTCCAACTAAACCCTTAGTTCCAACGGGTAACCTCCGTCGCTTTCAGGCGGCTGGCGACACCCCACTGCAGTCTCTGATGTCACGAGGCGTTCGGAGAAACTCACCGCTCGAGCGGTTGCTTCCGGCTGCAGAAACCTGTCGGGCAGGGATCCGGAGGCCCCAGAGATCGTTGGCCAGCCTGTGGTCGCCGTTTGGACGGCGGCACCGAGCTGCAGTAGTATACTTCGGAGAAAGTAGCCGGTTGACCGCTCCGGTGAACGGTGCCAGGGGCCTCAGCTACAGCGAGGCATTTGCGAAGAAGCTGGCTGTTCCGCGTGAGGTGCACACGCATAAACTCGTTGCCACGCCGTAAGGATCGTACTTCCTTAACCAGACCGTCAATTTTGCCGCAGAGCGCGCGTACGCACTTCACGAAGGCCGCAATTTTCCGGCGGCGCTTCTTCCGGTGAACTGTCGCCGTTCGCGGACAGCGATGACTTCTTATTACATATTACGATGACTTCTTCCTATATATTACAAGAAAAGTTTAACTGCAACCACCTTCTACGAAATGAATGTCCCAACCCAGTCTGTTCGTCATTTCTGTGCAACTAGAGTGCGGGCTATAATCACCTGTGACAAACCTTAATGCCTAATTTGGAATTCGCTCAAACTTATTTGCAAGGCAACATTGAAGCGTATCCCAGATAACACAGGCATATTTTAAGACAGATGTAATGAAAGAAAAATATAGTTCGTCTCACACTGCGAAGTGTATTCTTAAAATTCCTCCCAATAAAATATAACACCTTACTTGCCTTCGTTACAGTATTATGTACACTACAGGCACGTAGCCGGGGAATGGGGTTGGGGGTCTCGAGTTCTTCCGAAATCTTCTATTTTGCTGGGGCCTCCTCACCCTGTCCCCCTCATACAACATTTTGTCATGGGCGGGCTACCCCACGAATCAAAATCTTGGCTACGTGCCTGATTATGTACGTGGTCCTTCCATTTTTAATTTTTTGACAAATGCACTCCCAAATGCTTATGTTAATATACCCATTCAAGTTCACAATTTTCTTTTTTTAATTTATATATAGACGGGCTAAATAATGATGGAGTAACACACATGTATTTTCACTTTTTTATATTCACTCCCATTTCCCAACAATACACCAGATGACCCCAAATGAAGCCTCATTAAAAAAGGATAAAGAGGACACCGGAAACATTCTAACACACAAGGCATAATAAAAAAAAATAAAGAAGGAGATACTTTGAGATCAAGAAAATATAAGGGATCTTTGTAAAAGGATACAAGCAAAATTGAATTGAATTGAAGTCTTTATTTCTCTCGAATCAACCGAAAGGGGAACAGAGACTAAAGGCAGAAAATGCCTGACGAAGGTCTCTGTCCCCTTTACAGCTCGTACATACGGTACACAGTATACTATACACTCATGCAGCTGTAGAACAAGCAGTAATTCAAATAATGTCATAGCTTTATGATACATCATCAAGAGAGGATCGCAACTAGTGATATAGATTATGAAAGAAACTTCTTCACAAGTTCAGAGATAAAAACCATCAAATTGTACATGTATAAAAATGGCTATAAAACAGTGTAACTGTCCACCAAGAGTGTCCTCAGCTCTTTTTTTAAATTTAGAAAAGGAGTTATTAAAATTCATGAAGGTCCCGTTTTGAATTTAATAATTTGGTCACCTGATAATCTTTAGTTTGCTTTCCGTAATTTGTTCGAATCTGGGGAGGTCGTCTTAAAGAGTGCCGAAAGGTGTAACTGTGCACTAGATCACTTGTAGTTTTATCATAAAGTTTCTCAGTTTTGATACGTTGCATTAACCTGAAATCATAAATTTGGTTAGCCTTGAGTATACCGTGTTTTTTAAAAAGTGGCTCAGTTGGAAGGTCTTGCATATTTCCCGTGTAACTTTCAAATAACCGCAAAATTTTCTTCTGTAATTTAAGAATCTTATTGTAGTTTGTGAGCGTGGTGGTACCCCATACTAAAATACAGTAGCATAACTTTGAGTAAAAAAGAGAGTAATAAATTTGAAAAATAAAAATAAATTATAGAACTGAAGTTCTTAAAACTAAAGAAGTCTTAAGTGATGAAATTCCATGTTATCATTTAGTTGATAGGAATGGTGAGAATATACTTGGTACAATATATGAGCAAGATAGGTTAAATATATTGTCTCGAATTCTTGTATTTTCATTTGAAGATAATTTTGAAGAGGTATTGTGAGAACGGGAAGGTGGTCCAGCATAGATGAGCAAATATCTTTCTTTTTATTTATCATTAATTACTGTTGAATTAATATTCAATTCATCGCTCGAAATAATATATGTAATCCTTTTGATTTTGAAGATAATTCACTTAATAATATATATTTAATATATTAAATCCTTTTCATATTGAAGATAATTTTTGAAGAGGTCATTGTGGGAATGATAAAGGGGGCCAGGAAACGGCATATTCCCTACTAATTACCATGAATTTGTGAATTCATTCGGGATAACGAAGACTACCCAGCCTGTGTCACATAAGAGTCCTAGAGCAGTAGTTTGAGAAGTGGCAGAATAGCGAGATGCATAGCGAGTGGTCAAACATGCAATCCCCGACGGTTGGAAGGAACGTCGGTTTTCGCCTTGGCTGCATTAGAGAGCCTCAAGTAAGAGTATGCTCAACTCAATCCATAGAGAGCGTTTGAAATTTGATGGCGGCGTTAACGATGCGGATTATACATTTTTCGCGTTTAAAAAATACTTTTTCTATAGGAACTAAACTGCTGTCTAAAGAACAATGTTATTTTATTTTTCGCGTAAAATATTCCGGCATCTCCAGGGCTGTTCGTAGCCGGAGTTTCGTTGGAAAACCACCCGTAGCCCAATAGACTCAGAGTAAAAAAACGCGTACCCCGGGAGAGCAGTTGAACACACTCTTATTTCAGGCTCTCTAGGCCGCTGTAATGGTCATTAACAAAAAATCCGCCAAGCTCGCCGTTCGTGCTCTCTTTTATTTCAAGAGTACTCTCAAAAGGTATATCGTTTAGGTAAAAATTGAAAGCTTAACATTAAAACCCTGCCTGAATTGAGATGAAAGTAACGTACATAGCCAGATGTATTGCGCACTCTGTGAGGTTAGATTAAAAAGGTTGCATGATTATCACTTATATAGTAGTTGAAATATGACGTATCATTGTAGGCAAACTATGCGTAATCCGGCGTCGTATTTGCGTTTGGTTCCTATGTAACTTTGGCTCAACGAAAATGTTACCCGATTGTTTCCTAAGAATAATACATCCATTCAAAGACATCACACCACTCATCGGTAGGAAGAATCATCTCAATCGTTTGCGCGTGTAGACGCGTGGAAGAGCGCTTATTACTTGCCATGAAGCTTTTCACAGATGTTGACGAACTTCCTGCCCAGAAAAGCGTCAAAGCTATTTAAACCTACCGCCACTCAAAGGGCGCCAGTTTGCCCCGCCATCTAGTGGAGGGACGGCCAGCTGCGTGCACGATCGGCGACACGCGAGTAAACGTCGCTAGCGACATTAGCGATGCGACCAAGTCCTGCGGCTCCCGCGGCCAACACCCCTGGCGCCGCCAGCGCCTCTAGCGCCGCCGGCGTCGCTTCGGCGCATGCGCGGTGCGCGTCGTGGGCTCCCCGACGGGGCTCGAAGTTGCCGTGCGAGCCTACGGCGCAGTGAGTCCTCTTGAGTGTCGGTGCGTGGCGCGTCCCGGATTAGCGCAGCAAGCGTCGGCGATGATCGGATGACGCCTCGCCTGGAGCCGGCCAAGGGACGGCAGCCAGCCGGCGTCATGGCGCACGACGAGCCGCATCACGAGCCCGTCAGGGCCGCCAGCCGCAACAGCACCAACCTCAAGCGGTGCGTCTCTGGGTCAAGGCCCGCTCTCCATCCTCCCGGGCCCGAGCCCACCCCGCAGGCGGGCTTCCCCGCGCGGGAGACAACATGGCGCCGCCGGCCGGTCGATGCGCGCCGCGGTTCGGACCCCGGCCGCGTGCGCGGTGTCAGTGAACCCGGACCCACTGGGCCGCCGGCGGAGAGAGCGGCTAAAATTGGGACTCGGCCGCGCAAGGCCCCGACCACGGACTCGGGCCGTCTCGCGCCGTCCGGCGGCCGAGGGACCCGACCAGGGCGCGCGACCGTGCCCGGTCCTGGCGGCGTTGCGGCGGCCGGGCATCCGCTCTGACCTGGATCCTCGGCGGCCCCGAAACGCGGTCGCCGGCTCCCGTGAAGAAAGTGCTTTCCCCCGACGAGCCTGCGGCTACCGCGGCAGCGCTCCCCTCCGAGCGCCGCCGTGGCGCGCTGCCCGGAAAACAGCTGCGACCGACCGCGCTCGCAGAGTCGAGCCGCGCCAGCCGGCCTAAGCTCGCGGCGGGTTGCGTTTGCGGCCCTGCACTGGGCTTCGGTTTAAGCTACAGAACGGCCGCAGTGTTTAGTTAACGGACGCACTATGCCCCCACGTTGGGCGCCAAATGTGGTGGGTTCCTTTGAGGTGCGAGTGTAGCGGAATTTACGAGAGCGAGCTTCGGGCTTTGGGCGTCTCTGACGAGCAGTCGCGGTCGCGCATTGCGATACATCGTTCGGGACAACATGCGCGAGCATACACTCGTATATAGCTGCAAAGGCAAACAAACCGTGGCGATTTGGTCTCGCGGAAGAAGTGGGACGTTCGCCTCCGCGCAGCGCCCTCCGCTTGGTCGGCGACGAGGCGGTCTGAGGCGCCCGTGGTCCTTCGCCCGACCGCCCTTCCTCCGAGTGTGTCCTGGAAGCCCCTCGGGCCTTCGCAACTGCCGGGCGCTTCCATGCCTCGTACGGGAAAGGCTATGAAACGACGCGGTGAACGCTGCGCCTTCTCGTGTCTTATTTGCGTTTTAGGTTTTCATGCGAGGAATACAGTGGTCGGTATTTAGGGGTTCGTCAAAGCCGTTTCCCCTTGTCCCGCCTGAATCGAGAAAGCAAGGTTCCGGGCGCTCCCGCAACGTCATTTTAATAATAATATTAATAATATAAAAAAAAAAAAAAACAATAGTAACTGCTAATAAAAGAAAAAGATCCGGAGTCGTTTGCTTTATGAGTTCTGTGCATCATTTACTTTTTACAGCAGCAGCAGGAAGGCAATCGAGCGTACAACATTTTCAATAATAGCAAGAAAAAAAAAAAAAAAAAAAAAGCACCGCTGACTCTTAGCATCACATATCGCCTAAACACTGGTGGCTGATCTCTTTGCGGTAAGAGCTGACTACACCAGTCGGCCGTGACAACATTATACACGACCGACCGGAATTGCGTCGTTGATAACTAGCCTAGAAGAATGCCGCGAGACGAAGAAACGTTTAGCAGTTGAGTAAGTTTATTGTGAAACGTTTCAGCCTCCATAAGGAATGGAGTCTGTGTTCACTCTCGAACTGCAAAGCAACAGCGGGTGCTGATCGGTGAAGCGAAGTCCAAGGTGATACTTGAAAATGAAGCGAAAATCGGTTCATAAATGTCTGCCTGCCTCAGCCTTTGTTTGTGCAAAAAATATGTGAAGCCAGGCGCGGTCGTCGGCACTGCACATGTCGCAGTTCGTCATACGTCGTACAAACGCTCTGCGCACATGGCTGCAGAAGTACCTGCGCATCTTCGAAGCACGTCTCACGTTGCTTCGAACAGCTTCATACGCTTCGAACATATATCTGCAGGAGATCACCAGTGTGACCGTCATACAAGAAAGAAAAATGTCTCACGGTGTGTCCGCAGCAGGGTGTCGGACCGAAAACCAAAACGAAACACTTTTTTCTTTTTTTTACCGAACCGGAACTAAACCGTAAACCAAATCGAGCATTTAATATAGAACCCGATTCGGAAGGCAGCCCTAAGCCCATGTTGCGGTGACCGGTTCATTGGAAAACGGTTCGGCGTAATAAAATATGAGCCGCGCCTTCTTTCGGATGACGCGGTTTTGACCTAAAAAGGCCGACGACCAGACACGAGGTTCTGCAAGGCAGAAGATCCTCCTCACCATGGGAGAGGGGGAAACACGCAACGGTGGGCAGGGTAGAAGGGGGCAGCGCCGAGTCACGTGACAAGCTGCGAGCTATGGATTGGCGCGGGTCGCTCGTGGCGTCCATCGTGGAGCATCGTAAGATGTAACGGATTATATCTAAGTCGAGAAACTAAGATGTACTCTGCGTGTCTCTGTGTGTTTCATGCGTGCGTGTGTATGTTCGTGCAATTGTGGAAACTATATATGTATCGGGCGTCCAAATTAAAGCACCGTACGAGGAGGGTGCGAACCCGAAGGTTTTATTCTACATCAGCCGTCCGGTTCGCCATAGCCGGTTGAGTCACTCGAGCAGTCGCAGCACGCTCATCGGGCCAGAGCTCTTCGTCGTCGTCCGGCTCACTGGTGGAGCCCGTGGGGTAGTCCGGCTACACAGCACAAATGCACAAACCTGGATATTTTGAGATTTTTCTTCTTTTTTTTTGTTTTTGTTTGCTGTATTTGCACTGTATTTGGTCGTGACGGGATATCGGGAAGCTAGCAACTCGAAACCGAAACTGAGGCCAAAGTTCCCCAAGATGCTTTGCACGGCACTACCTAGCTAGGATCGCTTCGATTTAGCGAGAGTGACGTGAACGCACATGACCTGCATGAAGATATTTTAACCTGCAGATTGTTGATATCACACTGAACTGACCAGAAAGTGTCAAGACCCGCAAAACTCCACTTTATTGTCCAATGGGGAGACGAGGGCCTTTTCTCCAATCTTCGCATCGCCATTCAGATACTGTTAATTATAGCAGATTCCATCGCTGGCTGTGAGATATCGTTCGGCAAGTTGAAATTATTACTTTCGTATTTGCGATCTTCCATAGATCAGGGCATGACTTTCTGATCTTGTCCTGTCGAGTGTAGAAGGAGAAGAAGCTGAGCAAACGGGGGGGAGGGGGGTGAGGAGGAGAGGAGGAAGAGGAGAGAGGAGGAGGAGGAGGCGGGCGTGATGGCGTTATAGACCAATTCACTTCAGCGAAAGCAAGAATAGTTACGTCGTAGTTTTCATGCAAAGCCAAGATGTATTACTTTATGTTTTTTTATATTTCTTTCGTAAAATATCGAAGGTGGCAGTTAAAATGTTAGAAACCCAAACATTCCTTTTGTGCTGATGCTTTTTCTATGCGGGGGGCAAGTTCGTCCACTTTTTTTGCAGCGGTTATGGTGACGTCAGAACTCCGGGCTCTGATTGGCTCTGATAGAGGGATAGTGGGTAGACCCCAATGGCAGCTGCCTCGAGGTCTACCCACTATCCTTCCATCAGAGCCAATCAGAGCTAGGCGTTCTGACGTCACATGGACCCCTGCTCTAGAAGCAGACGAGCTTGCACAACCGTAACTGTCTCTTCGCAATTCATCAAACTGTTCACGTGCCCACTTTGTTTTTATTTTTTGTGTGCGTCAAAGTTATTTAGAACTGTAGTTTTTGAATGTCAACGTTTTACAGAGAAGCTGTTTATGGCCAGGGTTTCGTGGAGTTTTCGTGTGCGTGACCAAACACTCTATAGGCTCGCACCGCCGCACACGCACGCCTTCCCGGTATGAAAGATTCGAAGTGAATAACCAGAATAAAGCGGTGACGAACGCGCGTACAAGATGCCATTTGTTTTAGGATTTTGCTTTAGAACAGTTATTCTTGCATGCTGCAGACGCCGGCGCGTGCCGCGCGTGAAACACCATTCCCTGCATTCTCCTTGATGCTTGGGTAATTTAGCGATGGGTCTATTCAGTAAAGTATAGTTATCAAAAGGCACCATTTTTAATATCGGTAGACTCTCACGTATATCATAAAGGTTTCTCAAAGATTTGCCGCTGCGCCACTCACGTCGGCCATGTATACGCTGGCACCGCCCTCTCTTTGTCGTCGTTCCAAGCGCTTGCGTGCCTAGTTTCCTTTCCTTCCGCTCTCCCGGGGTGACGGTCCCGTCGCGCGTGTCTAGTCTCCTCCGGCTCCTCGGGGCGGGTCTGTGTCGTCTGGTAAAGAGCTTCGCTGGTCATCTACCTTCACAGAGTGGAACGGCTCGTGATTTGTTTTCCCCCAAACCATGGGCGCCAAGCGAGGATTAGCAGATGGTTTTACGGCAGCTTACCCTGTTTCGTATATTCCTTCCGTGTGTGTTCAGTACGATGGAGCAGCAGAGTGAATGTACCGAGACACAGCGAGCCCACTTTCGTGGACACGCGGGAATTTTTCATGAAGTCATCCTCATCATCATCGATGACAGGGAAAAAGCTACTTGTCACGGGCAGCATCATCCCTAAGGTACTCCACTGACTCGGCGTTTCTTGCTAGTGCCGGCCAGCATCTATGCGCGAAGGCCCGAGACTAGTGGCACGCGAGTGCCGCGCCGCCATTTGCTTCTAATGGCCGCACGGGCCTCGTGCACTGGTGCATTTGACGCCACTCGTAAAAGGAACAGATCAAGGGGCCCGACCGAAACGCGAGCATGCGTGCTGGGGCCCGCCGCCATGCACGTGCGTTTGAGTTCGTCGACGCGTTCTCGCCGGCGCGCACCGTCGGCGGTCTTTCGGATCTTCCTCCGACCTCGTTCGTGCTCCGCCGTTCTTCGCCCCCATTCGCGCAGGCTTTCGCTACTTGACCAGCGTTGCCCGACAACGTTTGGCCCGCCGACCTTAGGGTTAGACTGTAACGCCTAGTCGTGCTAGTTCAAGACGAGGTGGTTCGTCGGAGGAGGACTGAAGCTTTTATCGACTCGTTTGCATTAACGAACGAGACAATTAAAATATCGTACGTTTGCCTTTATAGTGATCGTAGATTGGTTCTTTAAAATTTAAAGCGAACTACTTGTTGCGGAGGCATGGCAGGG